TCCGTTTTCAGTTGTCCCCCTCCTACAGTGCTGCCATTGCCAGTATCACTCCACCCCCTGTTAACAATAGGTGTTAATTAGGTGTCAACGATAGCCATGTGATGTGAGAATCTGTCACATGGAGGCAGGGCTTAAAAGCCTGGATTTCACCTGAAACTCTCAGACTGAAGAAGTCTCTTGGAGGAGAGACGAAACGTTTCATTAGAGAAGAACCCGTCCACAAGACCTATACAATTTTTTTCTTTTTGTTATATGAAAATATAAAGAAGCTGTTTGGGTTAATTCTGGAAAATACAATCCTGTAATCTTGACATGTACCGATCCAAAAATAAGAAGTTTGAAAAATGACAGTTTAAAGCCTTGGAATATAAGCTAGCTGTTTAGCATCCAGCTAACACGTCCAGCAAATTAAAAAGACGGAGCACAGGGTTGGGTTACAAATGAGTCATTTTTTTTTATTTTTTTTAGTGCAACATCACAACAAACAATTTTCACATGAGGTATTCAAAGGGATTTTCTTTAGTTGTTGATACAAAACGTCCCACCATGATTGATGTTTAAAGTGTTGTGTATCTCTTTTTTTTAGCCTTTGGTTGGTTAGCCACATTCATAAGAGTAAGTCTAACACGTGGACAAAAATGGCACGGTAAAGCATGGTGGGTTGGTGAGTCCGAGCTGAGGAAACTCCAACTTAAGTCAAATGTTTCCTCCTCAGCTCTTCCTCACTTAAAGCTTTCTGTATGGATTTTATTAATTCCTACTTACAACAGTGGGATAGAACAGTTTTTCTACTACACTAAACATTAGGAAATACCAGGGGGAGGGACGTGGGGGAGTGGCTTACAAATGTGGAAAAATAGCTTCTGTCTTCTGTGACCTTTTTTTATTTCAGGATGAGCGCTTGATTCTTGGGCCTCTTGGGCTTAACTCTATAGTTTATGGAAAACAAGGAACAGGCAACGTTGATTACAGCAAGAACCTCCTTGCTTAGATTGTCACCTCCTTTAATTTTTCTTCTTTTTTTTTTCTTTTTTGGTCTTGAGAATGATTTCATATTTATATACAGAACATGGATCAATGGGACACTAGCATATTGGGCTTCAGCTTTGGCTGGATGAGAGCCCCGACCGGCTCCTGTAACAGATTGATTCCAGCACATTTGGTTCGGAGTAAAAGGCATGAAAAAGAGACGGATGGACAGACAAGATATAGATAAATAGATTGACAGACAGACACCCTGACAGTATGGACTCTTTGGTTAAGAAATATCTTTTTCCACACAACATCTCACACAGTTGAGGTAGATGGGTAAAGTCTTTGTGTACACACGAGGGAAGGGGGGAAAGGCAGGGGCAGACACAGACACACGGGGGCTTACAAAGTCTAAAGACTTCCATCTGAAGACGTGCTTCTCCTGTCAGTTCCTCAGTTCCAGCTCCTCAGACCTCTTCATCTTTGGTATTTTTTTCTCAGATTGATACTGAATACTGAAAGTTTATGATTTCAATTCTGCTTTTTTAAAGGTACTCATTGTAAAGTCATGTAGACGATTCAAGAACAAAAGTTAAAAAAAAACTAATTCTCATATTTTTATTGTATCAATGGGTAAAGTGTCCTAAAAAATTCACTTTTACTGTAAATTTCCTCTTTACACTCGTTTGTTTCCACTTTTTTTGTTTCTTAAGTCGTGCGACTAAAGCTTACACATGGGATTCAGACGACTGCTTTGTTTACCTTAAGTGTGGACCCGCATTTCAGAAATGCATATCAATACACCTAAATACCTACTAGCCTCATTTGATACATTTCAGGATAACCTTTTATTCGGGGTGCAACAATACATGTATCTGTATGGAACCGTTCAATACACACTATGTATCAAATTTGTTTGTTTGTTTATCAGTTTGTCTTCTGAAGATGTGCCGTGTTGAAGGCTCAGTGAACCTGTGTTCGACTACTCCACCTAGGCTGCGCTGTCGAGCACAGATCCACCGAGAAACTTGTTTCAGCAACATCTAATTTAAAAACTGTACTTTTGAGGTTAAACAAATGTTCATAATTAATTACATTAAAATGCATATTAAGAAGGGCATGGAAGTTTCTCTTTTTTGTATTGAAAACATATCGAACCGTGAGACTAAAGTAATGAACCGAACCGAATTGTGATTTTTCTGTATCGTTGCACCCCTTACTTTTTATATACTTTACAATGAGGACCTTTAAAACTTCCAGCTGCCCAGAACCATCTCAGGATGAAGTATCTGGAATGGACACTAGGGGGAGCCGCAGACTAAAATGGCACAGGATCACCTGCAGCAGCCAACTGTATTCACCCCTCCCTGCTTCCTCCTGTCTTCACAGAAAAGGAAGAGCTTTCCCTGCTTGACACCGAGCAGAAGGTGGCTCAATACAAACAGCTCTGTCTCCATTTTAGGCTCCCAGTCAGGGAGACAAAGGGAAACCTGAAAGGTGTCACCCCAGCTTTGATACCATGACAGCAGCGAGCAAGGGTCGGCAGAAGGGCCTTCGAGCTCTTTTATTTTTAATTTTTCTCTCCACCCCTGAACACCCCCGCCCCCTTTGCTCTCAGCATGCTTACAATTGTCACTCATTAAAGTTTAATTCAGCTTCATGCCTCACTACTCGAACACCCCCTTTACACACAGAACTACCATCCTGGTTCTGGGTGATTCAGCCTCCTCTCTGATCTCCCCACCGCCTCTCCCCTTTTGAATGCCCCCTAAAGCCCACAGGTCTGGCCAACAGCGGACCTCTGCCCAGAGACCCAAAGAGGAGACGGGATGGAAAAAGAAAAAAAAAATCCTCCCCCCTTTGAAGTCCACGAAAAAGTCGATGGCCTCTTTCATGACCGCTCGTCTTTCAAGTGCACGCTGTGAAGGGGGCTACACCAATCCAACCCTTCCAACGGTTAAAGACAGAGAAGGAGAGAGAAAATGAGACGGGGAGCAAAGGTGGAAAACAGCCATGTCAGCCTCGGTACTTATTGGAAACGTTTACTCTGGAGTCGGGGATTGGGGTCTTTGATTTTTTTTTTCTCTCCTGATATCTGCTTCCACCACACAGAACACTGAGAAAATCAAATCATTTGTGCTATGCTAGTTGCTCGCAGGAATTTAGCAGACCAAAAACAAAACATTCTAGAAACCCACAACGAAGGTCAGACAATAAAAGCCGTGCAACATAATCCAAAACTTTACAAAATCACTTAAGGTGGTATTTTACTGAGTTGGGAAACCAGGTGGGGAAAGAAATCCTTCAAAATTGCTGGAATATCGCAAGAAATTATCAGCTGCAGAGTGAAAATCAAGCCATGTGGCCAGTTATTTCTTTCTTTATTACAGCCTTTTTTTTTTTTTTTTGCATAAAACTACATTTTTGTCCACTTGTGTTATTTTGTTGTCCACCTCAGCAGCCGTGTTTATGAATTAAGCTGCTGGAGTGCAAATCTGTAATAAAGGAAGGCCAATTTGGACAAGTTGTTTAATTTTCAAGTGTCCAAAACAGCTTTAGCACTCGTAAGATGAGTTGGAGACGCCTGTGGCAAATTCACTTAGACACCCTCAACAACTATATGACTATTTTAAGAGAAAATCAGTCATTTTTTTTATAACGTTTAAAACACAAGCGACAGAACTTTGCACCTCAGAGACTGGTGAGGAAGTCGAGGAACTCTGTGAAATCCAGAAGACGTTCTGCAGACATTTGGGAGGCTCCCTCATGAACGCCGTTCGCCAACTCCTCACAGCCCAGTGAGACGCCACGTTAAATAAAACACGAGCAGGAGAGGAATGCTTTAGACCCTCAAAAGGTCAGGGATGATCTCTAAGATCTTCAAAAGATTGAGTACACAAAACCCCCCAAAGACTCAAAGAGGAGGAAAAACACACCTTAAGAACATAAAAACCCGCAAGCAAATTTTGAGATCTTTGGAACAAAGCAACAGAAGAGCAGGAGCGAAGTCAAGGAACCCCCCCCCC